CGGAAGCCGAACGGCAAGTGGCGTATCGTCCATGCTTACAATAAGCTCAACGCTGCCACCATTCCGGCACAAATGCCAATTTCTAGAAAGGATGTTCCTCAGATCAATATGGCGGGATGTTCGAAGTACAGTACACTCGATTTGGTAGATACTACCAATTTTTCATGAGAGCGAGTGACATTCCGCTGACAGCGGCGAGCACTCTGAGCGGCATGTTTTAGGAGTGGCGATGAGGATTCGAAATTCTGCATTTTCTAAGAGGATCACGACACGCCACTCAGTGGTCATCTCGGTCATGAGAAAACGTACAACTCTGTGAGTCACCACTATTGGTGGCCTAAGCTGTCCAAATTGACGAGCACCTATGTGCGCACGTGTGAGACGTGGCAACGGGTGAAATCTTCTCCAAATGAGGCTGCGCCGCTTGCCAGCTACCGGTACCCACTGGGTGCTAACAGTCCATGAGTTTGGACTTTGTGTCTGGTCTGCACGAAAGATTCGGCGGGCAACACGGGTGTCGTGGTATTTGTCGACCAGTTTAGCAAGATGGCTCATTTGGCGGCGGTGTTAGACAACATCGACGGAGTCGGTACAGCAACGCTGTTTGTAGATCGTGTTTTTCGACAACACGGAATCCCAGAGTCGATTGTCTCTGACAGAGACCCCGGTTTCACGGGAAAATTTTTGGTCGATTATGCTTGGCACCGAGTTATATATGTCGACAGCGGATCATCCGCAGACCGATGGTCAAACTGAAATGGTGAATCGCGTCATCGAAGACGTTCTTCGCAGCGTCTGCGCTGAGGCGCCGAGGCGCTGGAGCGCCATGTTATCACTCGTAGAGTTTATACTGAACAATGCAGTGCAATCGTCTGCCGGCTATACGCTGTTCTACGTGAGCGGACTGATCCACCCTCGCGTCACGCTGACGCTGCCATCCCATGGCTCAGGGTTTGGTGGGGGAGGAATAGCCGAATGGCTAGCTGATGTCAGCCCCCTCACCATCCACAAAGAAGCCGATGGCTTCTTGTCGAACAGACTGAGTGTCCTACGACACGTTCGCGATGCGATGGATGAAAGCCAAAACCTGCGGAAAGAATATGCAGATGCAAAAGGAAGAGGCAAAGTGGAAAGCTTTAAGGTCGAGGACCTAGTTTGATCAAATTTAAAAAAATCTGCCTACACATGCAGCCTCTGCTGTCTTCAGTACGAAGCTTCGTCCACGGTTTATCGGACCGTTTAAGGTTGCGGCCAATCGGGGCCTGGCGTACACGCTGAACCTTCCGAAACGGATGCGCTCCCACCCGGTGTTTTACGTGGGCCTTCTCAAGCCATACCGGGATCCGGCACAAGTGAACGCGGAAGCGTTGGCGCCGGAGTGGATCCCACGGGCCCGCGGCCACCCAGAAGTTGAACCAGCACCTGGTTCTGAGCACGAAGTGCAACAATCTCCATTTCCAATGGAGCCAAGTGCTCCACCGTTGCCTGCAGCGATGCATGCGCCTGCTCCACGGCTAGGAGTTGCTCCGACAGAAAGCGGTAGTCCTCAAGGCGAGGCAGCCGGCGCACGACGTGATTTAAATCGTCAAGAGCGTCCGCACAGCGATATCCTACTTCGGCATGACGCTCAGCGGACCTTGTCCTCAAGGGCTCGAAGAGCATCACGAGTCACCGCCCGTCACCAACTCTTCTCGGTGAGAACGGTGACGTCCACGATCACGTGGAACGTCTTGTTGGACGACGTCGCCACCAGGGTCAGACTCAATATCTTGT